CTCCTGGGCTTTTTTTTTCTTTTTTTTTTTTTTACTGTTTCTTAGCCCTCAGTTAAAGACTTATAGGCACCCTGCTGTGGGAGGAAAAAAATATGTTTTCTTAAGGCAAAATAGACCGTTGGAACTAATGGGGAATAGGTCCCAACACAGGGAAGCCAGAAGTCCTGGGCTGTGTGGGACTGTGAGAGAATAATGTCCACAGTGAACAGTGGAAGGGACGACTCTCCTTAAAGGCTGTGCTTTGGGGCACGAAGCAGAAATGTTTCTTTTCTACCTTCTCCTAGGGGCAGGGACTCCGTGGGTGACTGAAGATGAAATAATTGCTGGGTTCTGATTAGGAGCCTTGAAGAAGATGTTGGCATCTGCCCACACTCCACCCCCGGAGTGGTGAGGGTGCCTGGGGCAGAGGATAAGCATGGAGTCCCTGGCTGGGCCCCAGGCAGACACCCTGGGCTGAGTTCAGGGTGACATTGGGCTCCGGCGGCCGGAAACCAGCCCTTCTGGCCAGGAGACCGCTGCTGAGCATCCACGACGAGGCTACCTTCAATTCTGGCTGCGAGTTCCCCCTCGGACGCGCACCACATTGAAACACCTTCTTCAAGGGGCCGAGGGCAGGGAGGCCGATCCTGGACCCCCCGCTCTGCAGCTTGGTCCCCAGCCTCCATCCGACACGCCTCCCTCCCTCTCCCGTTTCCCCATGAAGCCGAGGCAAGGCTGCACAGAAGGCCAGAGAATCACAGGGCGAGGAGGAGGGGTCGTTTCCTTTCCCCCTTCTCAGATCACAGGGAGAAGCAAGTTGGGCAAATGACTCGGGGAGAAAACAAACCAACAAACAAACGAAACAAAACAAGGCAAGCTGAGCGCTGGGGAGAGGATGTTCCCCTGATGTGAGACGGGGCTGGACCGTGGGAGGTGGGGGAGAGGGAGGGCTGGCGGGAGGAACTGACAGCTGACAGCAGAGGCGCCCAGGCGGAGGCTCCAGGAACCAGGTGCAAATCTCGTGCCTCTCAGCAAGGGGAAAATAAAAACGGGAGGGGGACGCTTGCTCACAATGGATTTTCTCATCTACACGGAGGCTTCGGCCCCCCCTGGGCTGGCATTCTCGGTATGGTATGGTCCAAATAATTAGCAGCACAGCCAGCTCCCAGGGCGGGCTTTGGGGGTCTGCACTAGCAGCAAAACAAACAGTGATGCCCTGCCGCTGCAGTCAAAGTTGCCGGGAAATTAGTACGGGAATCGTTAGAGCCTGGGGAAGGATGGAGGAGCCGAGAGAGAGGAGCGGAGGCAGCGGGGAGGGGGGGGAAGGGAGGACAAAGGGTGGATGAATAATGCTTTTGCAAAGGGGAGAAAGCGACACGCAGCAGGAGGAGGAAATTTGCAAAGGAGGAAAAATCCATGTGGAGAAGGGCTGCCCCCTCACCTTGAGGTCTGCTCCAGAGATCTCCGTCTATCTGTCTCCCCCTCTCTCTCTCAATCTCTCTGCTCACTCTTCTCTCTTCTCTTTCCGCTCCTTCAATTGGGAAGGGGATGGGGGAGGGGGAGGGTAGTTGGGGGTTCGAGAACCGGGGCTGCAAAGCTGGCCAGCTGCTGGGGGGCCAGAGGTTGTCTCTCCTTCTGTACCTCGGTCTGTGGGTGAATGTGGCTGTGTGTTGTGGAACTGCATCATAACACTGTGAGTCATCCGTCCCCCCACCCCCCTCACCTCCCACGTCAGAGCAGGGCTGGGAGACACAGGAGGCGGGTGGGGAGGAAGGGAGGGGGCAGGCATGGAAGGGCAGGGCTGGGGGAGTGATCAGGGGAGCTGGGGCAGAGGGATGGGTTGGGGTATCTGTGGTGATGAGCAGGAAGGGAGGCAGGGTGTTGAGAAAGACAGTGTGGCCAAGGAGATAGGAAGAACCTAGGAGGACAGAGCTGGGCAAGGATGGAGCAAGGGTGACAGGGCTGGAGGGAAGGAGGTGGTGAGGCCCGCGAAGCCAGGGATGGATGCAGAGTCAGGCGGTGCACGCACTCATTCCGGATGATGCACACTCCCCTTTCACCTCAGATGCCAGCCCTGACACCTGGAAAAGAAGGTTGCATTAATTGTCACGATGGCAAACTACACCCCCAAACTTGTACAAGACTTCCAAGACTCACAGCCTTGATTTTATCAACTACCTCCAAATTACTTGTGCTGCACGGACAGAGACACCTCTATTATATAAGATTCTATATCGTGCTGTCAAGTTTCCGAGGCTGGTCCTCTGGAAAACTCTCCTCTGCATCTCAGGACTGCAGTGCCTAGTGCAGAGCCTTGTACACAGAAGATGCTCACCACATAGCGGGCAATGGGGTTGGCAGGTGGCATGGTAGTTGAGGCATTGGACTCCCACATGGCTGACTGCAGTTTGAGTCCCAGACCTGGCAGCTTGTTTTCTTCCTTTCTCACTTTTCCTTTCTCTCTCTCACTGGTCAAGTTAAAAAATAATAATAACAACAAATAATAATAATAAAATAATTTGCTAAAAGAGAAAAAAGAAATAGTGGTTGAGTGACATCTTCAAGGAGCCAAGTGTCTGCCTTTGGTCTTGAAAGAGTCCTGAGTTGGAATCTTAGTTCTGCCAATTGCTGACCAGAAACCACTAGTCAAATTATTGATCTTTGTGCCTCAGTTTTGTTCTTTTTTTTTTTTTTCACCTGTAATAATTATCAGTTTTATTCCTCTGGCTAAGAGAGTCAGAGGTAATTTGGGGTTTACAATTCTTTTTTTATAGTTCTTTCAAGAGTTTAGGTGCCCCCATTGCCCTCATAAGCTG